GGACAGGTACCATCTCTGAGGGAACAGGGCGCAGGCTGCTGGCACCATGAACAGGAGGCTGTGGGACAGAGAAGATATAGCATTAGTTTTGTGGACTGCAGGCCATTTGCCCCCTGGCCACAGGAATCTCATCCCAAGAGGTGCTGACTCCAAATAACTGGGGAAAGCCCAGGCTGAAAGGCGAGCAGCTTTGCAATCCCTTGCTGGGAAAGAGGTCTTTTCTCAAGAATCTCTTGGAGCCACCCTCCAGGCACCCACAGGCATTCGAGCAGTGAGATACTTACAAGCCCCCACTGACAAGCACCTGCAGAGGCCCGTGGAGAACTCGGATTCGCTGCAAGAGAAGAGCTGGGATTGAGTTTCTGGCTTAGCCATAAGCCCTGCTTACAGGGTAGGGAGACCTCTCCCCTCAAAGGGGCTGAATGCCCAATACCTCTAGGGTGCCACCAACCCTGCCACCCTTTCACAGCCTCTCCCAAGAGATCTCTGGTGTACTGGTGACTTGAATAGGGGGTAAAGCAAGCCAGGGTCTACAACCCCCCATATAATCTCCAGCATCTCAGTGGCACCACAGGACCCACTTGCAAACCATGGGAGGAGAAACACAGGCTCACCTGCATGAAGGGGTATTTCTCCAGTCGCTCCATGATGATGGGTAAGATAACTAGGTGCAGAGAGAAAAGGTCAGGGTATCCCTGAAAGCCAGGCCCAAAGGGCTGCCCCAGCAGGACCATCCTTCGTGCCATGGCAGCAGCTAGCTGTGCTGGGAACTACTGGGTGCTCATCGCAGGGACCTGGCACAGGACCCTCATCCCTTTATCCATCCATCACCCAGGCAGCATGCTCCTCATGCTCCCATCCTTTCTGCCAGGCTTCTGGCATGGCAAGGATCTTGCTGAGAGCAGGGGAGGGTGAAGTGGTTGGTCCCAGTGGAGTCCCCAGTCCAGCCCCCTACTCCCCTGCTCTGCACTCACTCATGCCTGGTGCTGCCATGGTGATCCTGGAGACCACAACCTGCGCGATGCCCTTCACTGCTGCCCTCTGCAAGCAAAAGCAGCAGGTGAGCCCCTGCCAATGCCATACCCCAACCTGGACCCTCATCCCCAGACTCACCCTGGAGTGGCCAAGCTCGTTGTTGTCCTGGTCTGTCACCATGACCCCGTTGATGATCTCCCTGGAGGGGACAGGCAGTAGTGAGTGGGAACTGAGATCGATGCGTAAGTGTGAGGACACAGCAGTGGGGTGAGGGAGTACCAAGGGGGTCCCAGCAACCCCACTGACCCCAGCCCTGGTCCCAGGGTGTAGGGCTCCGCCAGCCCAGGGCACCACAGTCCCCAGCCCAGCCAATGCTGCCATCTTCAGGGCATGGCTGCAAACTGGGTCTGGCCATTCAGGGGACAGACACCTCCCTGTGACCCACAGCCCAGCAAGGGGACAGTCCCCCACAGCACCCCAGTTCCCCTCGCTGTCACCTCTGGGGACACCAAGCAGCAGACACAGGTCTCTACATGAGCCCCATCTAGGGGGTCCCAGTGCATGGACATTGTGGACTGGGGCGTTCCCATGACCACATGCAGAAGATCTTTGGGTCTGAGAGATATTCCAGGCCAGACCCCAGAATAGTTATCCTCAGCCCAAAATCCCGCTCCTGCTCCAGGCAGAGGCTGAGACACCCCACCCGGCACCTTCACCAGAGACCTGACACCATGAATGTGCAAGACCCCAGCATGGCTTCCATCCTCTCGCCTTCAGAAGGAGCTGGGTCCCTCAGGCGCCCCAGCCGTGCATGGCACTTACTGTTGCCGCATCATGGGGATATTAACACAGTTGGCAGCAGCCACGGCCACAAAGGGGACCCAGCGGGCCAGCAAGGGGGGTGCTTGCTGCGGGAGACAGGCTGGTGTCAGTGCAGGAGGGCAGGATGCAGCCAGCTCCCCTACCCATCCCGGCATACCTTGGTGTAGAGGTTGAGTCCCACGGCCGTGGCCAGGGCTGTACCAGTGGCTGTGACATAAGCCACCCCAATTTGCCTGGACAGTGATTTCCAAAGAAGGGAGAGAACAGAAACACCAACTCTGACTCAATCCTGTTCCTTCAGTGCCCAAGACCAGGCACAGGGGGTCTTTATGGAACATAAAGGGGGTCCCAACACAGAAGGTGCCCATTCTGTGTGTGGGCACACTTACTTCAGTGAGATGGGGCAGGCAGCATTGCGGTTGGTGTAGTTGACGAAGGCGTTGAAGGACTGATTCACCCATTGCCAGAAGACCACAGCAGGCACTGTCCTGCAGAGGGAAGGGACCAGGAGAGCACCTGAGGGCTGTCAGGGATACCTGACCTGGCAGGAAGGCAGCCAAGATGCCTTCAGTACCCTTGTCATGATGTCTCCCAAAGGAAAATGAGGCACTGCAGCAAAGCCACGAGCCATTGGCAGAGCTGGGAAATGATCTCAGGAGTCCTGTCTGTGACAGGGCTTTGGGGAGCAAAGAAGGGGCCCAGCCTGGTGGGGTGCTCAGCCAGGGCCAGCAGGCATCCTGCTGAGCTCAGATAAGCCTTTGTCAAAGGGAGCGGCACAGTGGGGGCATATGGGGACAGAGGCAGCTCTGGGGGTGACTATGATGCCTGGGCTCCTCCTGGTGTTTCAGGGGCACTGAGGAGGAGACACGGGGAGATGTGGGTCTGAGCAAGCTTTGGGGTGCAGGAGGGTAGAGGTGGGCTGGGAAGAGGGTGACCGATCAGCGCTGGGAGAACTCCCATCCAGGCTGGATCTCACCAGTGACTGTGAAACCAGTCCAGCAAACAGGGGCGGGATGGGATGGGGATTCACTGGGGAAGGCAGTGGCTGTCCCACACAGCCTCCCTGCTGGGAACAGGATTGCTCACCCCCCACAGCAGCCATTTCAGAAGGGAAACACAGGGAGCTGTTGGTATGGGCTGGGGCCACTGGAGAAGCCTGGCCTGGGGGCACATTTGGTCCTCATTTTTGAGGGCTGTTATGATCCATGGAGCGAGAGCAGCAGCCATGCAGGGCTTGGCCACGTTAATCATTACAGGGGCTCCAGGAAGAGCTGAGCTGAGGTGAAGTGGGGCTATTCCCAGCCATGCTGGGAGCTGGGAGGACTCATGATGCTTCCACCACAGGCTGTGCAACAGGGACAGGGCACAGGGATGCAGGTCTTGGCCACAGGACACAGGCAGGCACAGCAGCCATGGGCATGGCTCAAGCACCAGCCAGCCCCAGAGGAGGCCATGCCTGGACTGTCGGGGACCTCTCAGGGGCTGTGGGCTGTCAGGGATGCTGCCCAGCATCCCCAGGAGCTCACCGGTAGAACTGGAGCATACAGCCGGTGAGGGCCATGCCCCCTGGCACCTGGAAGGACATCCTCCCAACAAGGTTCATCTTCTCGCCGCTGTCAGGGTGGAAGGCTGAGTCGCACAGCTTCTTGGCGTACAGCAGCTGCTCCAGGCTGCTTCCTGGTGGCACCAGCCCGGTCCTGCAAGCCCAGAGACCATCGAGGAGGAACTAAGCAGACCCACCAGCACTTCCATCACCGGGGCACAGAGCCCCGGGGCACCAAACATGAAAGTCAGATAAACATCTTCCATGAGGGAAGCTTGCCTCAGCTTGAGACTCCCAAGAGAAGGCTGGGAAACTCCTCCCAAATCACCTCTAATGGATATTATGTACATGCACTGGGGAATGACTGCTTCCATCCCTGTGTGGCCCTGCAGGGTGGTCCGGTATGGCCATGGGGATGGTACCTGCCCTGCTGTACCCCTGCTCCTCACCTGCAGGCTTCCACCAGAGTCTTGGCCCGGTCCAGCTCCTTCTCCGGCACCAGCACGGTCCGTGGGTCAGTGATGTTGAGGAAGTGCTTCAGGCGCCCCATGAAGGTGCTCTGGTCCCAGCGCGGGGCATTGATGTTGAAGTCATGGGGGACGGTGGCCATCTTGGCGTGGATCTGGGCAGGGGGAGAAGGCAGCTCAGGAGGATCCTGCCTGCGCACTGAGTGCAGGCCTGCCACGGCCACAGGAGTGGTTAACTGGGCAAGAGCTATGGCAGGTTTATATTTAACGGAAGAGTTGGACTTTCAGCAGCCTTGAGCCCAGGAACCTCCTGCACCCTGCTGCAATAAGACTGCTCTTTCGCATGCCATCCTGCCTGCATGGGGTCTGCTCCTTGAGCTCCCAAACACTGCCTGCACCCACTGTGGCACTGCACCCTCCTGCGGCTGCTGCACAGCCCCACCAACATCCCCTGGGGCACCACGCTGCACCCTTCTGTGGCGCTGGCACTGCATTACAATGTGTGTTCTCCAACACAGACAACGCACCTCTACAACACTGTTGTGCTCCCCCACTGCATCACACTGCACTACACATGGTCTGTAGTGCTGCACAGTGCCCTCACAAAACCACAGCGCTTGGCCTGGCCCATGGCATGGTAGTACACTGCACTGCGTTACACGACATGCCACTGCATGCAATACACTACATTAGATTGCACTACATGACATTACATGGCACTGCACTGCATTACATTACATGACACTGCACTGCACTGGACTGGACTGCATTACATTACACTGCACTGCACTGCATTACATTACATGGCAGTACGCATTGCATTGCATTGCATTGCACTGCACTGGACTGGACTGCATTACATTTCACTGCACTGCACTGCATTACATTTCACTGCACTGCACTGCATTACACTACACTACACTGCATTACATTACATGGCAGTACGCACTGCACTGCACTGCACTGCACTGCACACCCGCGTCCCACGTGGCCCTACCTGCAGACCCCTCACGCGCCGTCTCCTGCCCACGTGGCCCACACCTGCCCCCCGGACCCCGCCGCGTGGCCGTCCTCAGCCAATCATAGAGCCCAGAGAGGGCAGCCCTCCACCTCCCCTCCAGCAGGGTTGCCCCTTTCGCGCATGCGCTGGCTTGGGCGGGGCGGGACTTTAGCCGCGGGCAGTGTCGCCGGGCTCCGCCCCCCTCGCGCCTGCCGTCGGCACGCTCTGTACGTACGGCGGGAAACGCTTACGCCGTGCGTGGCGGCGGCGTGTGTGTGACGCAGTTGCCCATGGTAACCCCGGAGCCGCGCAGAGGATGGTGAGTGCGGCGGGGACGGGGCACCGGGGTGGCCTGGGCCCGGCGGCGCGCACCAGAGGGGTTCTGAGCCCGAGGGCGTCCACCCCCGGGGAGCGTGGGGTAATGGGAGCAGGAGACACCCACCCGGGGGCCTGGCAGGCCGGGGGCCACTGGCACCGGCGGTGTCACCATGGGGGGCTTGTCCACCGGGAGCTGGTAGGGCGGGGATATCCCGTCAGGAAAGGGGGCCTGGGTCAGGGGGACTAGGGGCAAACAGCCAGAGGGATGCTGCTGGAGCCTTCAGCCACGGGAGATGCAGGCCGGTGTGGGGCCCTGGCCGGAGCCTGAGGCTATGTGGGACCTGGAAAAGGGGCCTGTCATGGGCTGAGAGGCTTGAGGATGGTACGGGGGAGTCTTTGTTGGGATGGGATCAGCTTGCCTTGAGCTGATGCAGTTAAGGTCTGGAAGGCATGATGGAGGGCTGGGTGCTAAGGAGAGCTGGGAAGCAGGGTGGTCATGGCCCACTTGGCCTTACAAGGGAAGGAGCAATGAAGGAACCAAGTGAGGATGCTGAGGGATTGACTCTGGGGAGTCTGGGAGCATCTGTGACAGGGCATTGAACAATCCAGTCAATGTGGATCCAACCCTGGCTACAGGAGCTGAGGGAGCTGTAAGAGACCTTGCTGAGGTGAAAGGTTGTTGGGTTGGTTGTTGATAAACAACCTTAGAGTGGGAGGTAGAGGATGACAGAGAAAGCCTGGATGAAGGGTTTGGGCATTCAGGGATGGACAGGACTAAGACACAGTGCTCAGGGGCTGAAAGAAACCTGCCAGTTTGGTGGGGTGAACAGTCTGGTGAGTTACTGGGAAAACCCAGTCAATGCTGGTTGTTTAGGATAGTTTGCCAGGATGTGGTGTGGTGTGGGGGTTTCTGCCAGAGGTTGGGAGATGAGGGACAGTCTGGGCTGAAAAGAAGAAATAGGAATACACTATGCGAAGGGCTGGAAGTGGAGTTTTGATGCTGATGAGAGAAAGAGGGGACCCAGGAAGGAAGGAAGTGTTCAAGAGAGAGCAGTGTGGACTTACAGAACCAACTGGGGTCTTTGGGTGCAGTGAAGGATCTGGTTAGGGTGGAGGCCAACGCTGGGAGATGGGTGGTATGGTGATGGTGTACTGTAGTCTAAATCAAGGTTGGGGTAAGGTCAGATGGTGGTCTGGGTTGTTGGAACACCCTGGATTTAGATGTTGGAGTAGTTGGGATGGGACAGGTGGGGGGAATGCTGGCAAAGTCCAGCAAGGACTGGAAGGAGGGGTTGGGGCTGCTGGGTGAGGGGTGGTAAGAGAGAGCTGCAGTAGGTGGGGAGAGCTGCTCCTGAACATGCATCATGTGCAGAGAGCACAGGCAGAAAGAAACAGCAATGGGGAAAAAGCTTTCCCAAGGGCCAAGTTGTGTTTGGTCCAGGAGCCCTCTGTATACAAGCTGGATTCATGCAAGTGTGCAGCACAAGAGGAGGAATAAGCAAGAGCAGCAAAGGCAGCTCATCTTCCCTGGGTTAATTCTGGCTGCATCCCCACCTCCTGGGCCACAGAGAAAGAGATTGAGATAAGATCTGTGGGATCTGCTCTATTTTAGATCAGTTGATGATGGAGCATCCATATAGGATGGACATCTGCTGTAAAGATGAAGGCAGCTGCCTCCAGCAGTGTAGTGCTTTGTGGGACACATTTGGCCTGCAGCTGCTGCTGGCCAAATCTGCTCTTCTGCCTTGTGATGTCCTGATAAGCTGGTGGAGTTCAGGGTCTGGCTGCTGTTATCTGAGTGCTGTGTGTGTGGAGAGGGTGGGTTGGGTGTTTCCCAGTGCTCATGTTATTTGATACACCATTTTACTACTTCTTTGTCTATTTCCCATTTGTGGAAGTTGTTATTTGAATTACAGCCCTTCTGGCAGGGTGGGTGGCACTTTGGGGTGCCTGGTGGCTGGGCTGGGTAGAGCATTGCTCTACCCAGTGAGAGTGCTCACTATCTCTAGTCTCAACTTCCACTAACCAGAATAATCCTTAGTGTAGAAACTCTGAAAGAGCAGCAAATCTATCCAAAGCAGCTATGGCAGCCTGGGGGTGTGGGTCAGCAGTCAGAAATGATCCAGGCAGCTTGATGCGACAATTTACTGCTTGTCATGTGAGCTGTGGTAGCTGCCTGAGCGTGTTTCTGGTGTGTCATGATTGCATTGGAAAGTGCTTAAACGCCCTTCAATAACTGCTTGCTCCAACACCAGTGATAAGAGGGTTAATGATGAGGTTTAAATGATTTCAGTGTTCATCCAAGTGAGTAAGTGCAGAGGGGAAGTGTCTCCTTCTGCAGAGCAGACCAGCATTTCTCACAGCTGTGGGGCAGAGGTGGTGGAAGGTCATAGGTGGAGCACAGAGGGGAAGATGAGCCATAAAGCTGCATAGCATGAGGGATGTGCAGCACTGAAGTCTTTGACGCCGTTAAGCAGCATCTGTGGTGGGTGCACATCAAGGGCAAGGGGAGGCTGCTACATGAAAGGATACGCTGCTTTCCAAAGCCTTGGGAATGCTGTGTGAAGCAGAGCTTGTGGCTTCCTCATCACTGTAATAGCAGTCTCTGGTATGTTATTGATCAGCGGTGGGGCCGCAGGATGCTGGTGTTCTTCTAAGCCTGTTGATTGAAGCTGCCATCTTGATGTCAAAACCAGGGTTGTCAAAGCATGGCCCCATCTTACAGCTGAGGAAACTGAGTCATGGAGTGTCTAGCTGACATTAGGCACATGTGGTGGAGGATGAAATGCCAGCATAGCTAAATGCATCTTACTTCTGGTCTTGAGCTCATGTTTATAGCAAAACCAGCATCTATCTGTTGCCTACTGTAGGTGTACATAGTACCCATAATTTCTTTATTTTGTCCCTCGTTACTTGGTGGTAAGGTTCTATTTAAAATGGCCGCATTAAAAAGAAAATGTTTTTGAGAGTTTGAATAGTGCCTCACTGCTTTAGTTTCCCAGTACAGTCCCATGTTTCTGGTTTAGTTTTCTGGTTGCTGAGACATTGATATGAGAAACTACCTGCAGATAGGACAGTATATTCAGAGAATGTCAAGTTCTGAAACCAGATAAAGACTGCTGACATTGTCCAGTGCTGGGCATTAGTTCTTCTCTGTGCAAAACGCTTCCTTCAAACTTGCTAAAACCAGAGTTTGATTTTAATTATGAAAGCAGGATTCATGCTGGCCGTGGTTAATATACCAAACCAGCAAGTGCTGTGCGACCTCTTTGACAGAAAATTGTGTTAGTAGGCTTGAGCTGGAAAAACTCTGTAGGTGATTCGGCTCCATTAAATCTTGGATTTCAATGCAGGAGAGAAAGTCTGCATTGAATGACACCATATGGTGGAGACATGCAGCAAGCAAATGATTTTTTGGGAGTTTTGCCAGAGTAAGAAGTATTGAATAAACTGTGCTCAATAGATTAATTTCCTTCGGTTGTATTTTGAAAAAGACTGGGTGATTTTATGACCATTAGTGACATTTGCAGTTCTGCAGCCGAAGATAAAGGTAATCAAACGTCATTCTTCAGGACACCAGCTAATCAGTGCAGTTGTCATAAAAGGACTCCCCTCCTCCAGCTCTATGTATGCAGGATTTCACCATGGATGACAAATGTAGCCTCAAATACCCACTGTTGAAGGCAGGATATTTGGCTCAACTGAGCCCTTCATCCTTCTCCATGTCACCGTCTCCTGTGAGACTTTCTGAAACCATCACGTGCACCTTCTGTCTTTAACTTACTCTTTAAAAATGGTGAACTGCCACCATATTGCTTAATTAAAAGGCAGCTGCTGTCCAAAGCTGCTCTAGGTGCTGTGCAGACAGAACATGGAGCTGTTCCCCATGCCATGGAAACAACGCTTTGCCTGAGGTGAGAGATAACCAAGTGATACCAGCAAGGAGAGTCCAAGACAGGTTCAAACTTGGCATGTTCATTGCCTAAACTTTTAGTAAGGATTGTAGGTGTGGCAGAGAAGGAATTAGCAAGAAAATCACAGGGTAGTTTTATGGGTATTTTGTCAAGTTTCTCCCACGGTTGTAGGAAAGGCACAAAGGTTTAAGGACAGAGCTCAGCAGTGCTGGGGCTGGCATCACAAACCATGGGGACACAGGAGCCATCACCTCCATGGCAAATGCGCTTGGCTGGGGACAGCCTTGACTGTAAAGCCAAGTGACTCGTGGTTGCAGCAGAGGGGAAGAGGAGTCCATGCAGGGACGTAGAGATGCAGGAGATGTGGTCGCAGCAGCAGTCTGAGGTGCTGAGTTTTGTGGCTGTATTGCCTCCTGGTGAGTTGATTTGATTCTAGCTAAATATCCATGTCTAGTAGATAAGCAGTTGCTGGTGACTGAGGTTGGTTTTATTTTAAATTAATTATCTGAGCTTTGTGGCTAATAAAGTTAAGCAGAATACATTTACTCCTCTTTCCTAATAAGAATCAACTGTGCTCTGCAGCAGCTTGTGGGCTGTGCTTTATCCATGCCCTGCATATCCAGTCCTGAGTACAAGGGGAAATTGTTCTTTCCATTATGGCTTTATATTGCCAATCTGATACAATATTTAAACAGATTATCTCAATGCTCTATTTGTCCCAAACCAATTTTTGCTTTGGCTTATAAAGTGAATCTTCCTTTTAGCGGCTTCTGTGGTACAGGATGTAGTTACATGCATCAACTAGTTCAAAAGACCCATATACAGCGTGGATTTAAAGCTGAATAAACCCACAAAACCCTTAGCTAGGACTATAAATGTCACTGTATTTTTATGTATGTCTGTATTTTATTTTTTTTAAGAGAATAGGATTACTGCATGGTGCTATAACTGAAAGTCCTTTGATAATTCAAGGGTTATTTTAAACCTAGCAATGATATACTTTCATAAAACCACACATCCCTGTTTTTTGAAGGATGCTAATAAGATGGTTAGCTTTGCTTTCATGCTCAATGTGTTTATGAGTGCTCTTGCCCATTTAGTTGCATCTCTGAATTTAATGCCCCACTCTGATTTCACAGTAATTGCCAGGACATTCTTCTCGTATGTCCCCATTCACTGTCTGGAAAACACAGTCTCCTCATTGCTGACCCCATCAGTCTGTCTCCTCATGGTGCTTGTAAAGAAAACCCTCTCCACCAAGGACAAAGATGTTTTTAAACAAGCCAATCTGATATAAAACATAGTTTGCTTAACCCAGAGGTGACCAAGAAGTGGTTGCTGGCTGACTGGGCCCAGCCTTGAGTTGCTCTGTCTGCCTGCCCCTCTCCAGAGGCTGCCTGCGCTGCCACGCTGTGCTGTTCATTATCCAAACAGCATCTGCAGTTCCCTCCTCTGTTATAGATGCCGCAGTCTGCTTGGTTTTGTGCAAATGACACATTGCCCTTATACTCCTGTGAGCTGTCTCTGCAGCTCTCAGCCAGCCAACATCTTTTCTGTCCTGCTTGAGACTTGTCCTGCCCCTCACACTGGAGTCCTCCGTGAGTGATTACTGCTGGCCTGGCTGCCATGCAGGTGTCCTGGGCATCCTGCCTCCTCACTGCAAGTTAAGTCCCAGTACTGAGGCATTTGTTTGCTGCCCCACTTCAAAGGCCTGCTCCTCTCCTGTTGCTTCCGAGCATCCTCTCTTCACCAAATATTTCCCTTTCTTGGTTTTCTACCTGACATTCCATCATGAGAAAGGGTTACTACCTGACTGTCATCAGCCCAAGTTAGTTTCAGCATTGTGTTTGTGAGCAGAGAAGTGCTCGTCAATCGTGTGTGCAATAAGGGCTGCTTGTCCCACTTAGTGGTGGCATGCAGCAGGGAGCTTGTCTGAGTTATTTTTTCCAGTCTACTAAGCTGTCAGGAAATGCTTTCTGTCTTCCTAGCCAGTGTGCTCATAAGAGCAATTAAAAATCATGTTAGAAACCCATCTGTGCATGGCTTTCCTTCATCTTAAATCTTCACCCAGTACAGGGAGAATGCTGGGTGCAAGCTTTAAATAATATTTACAAAATAGTAACAGTCATAGTAATCAATACTATTCTTTGGCTCTTGATTTAAATTGTATATGCAGACCATGTAACCTATGCTGGCAGCTACTGAAATAAAGTCCAGTTCTCTATGTTGGCTCGCTTGTCTTCCAGCCTTTTAAATCAGCTTACTTTATACCTTAGAGAATACTTTTATTTCTATATATATCCTTGCTTCTATTGGCTATCCCAGATAATCCTGTGATCAGCCATGCAGCAGTGTCACTTGAGTAGAATATGGAACGATGCTGATCATTTTCTCATAGGCTGTCATACTGGCCCAGAAATAGCATCCATCTACAATGGGAGAAGCTCTATTAACATTTACAACTGTTCCTCTTCCCTGAGACCCCTGAGAATTGCTCCGTGGAAGATAAGCAATACTTTGTAATACATTTCTTTGCGCTCAGTATTTTGGAGTTGAATTCTGAAACATAAAGGCTCTTAATCCTGATCGGCTCTGGGATACACTGCTCTGCACTTAGCAAGTGGTGCTGTGAATAGGATTAGCATTTCAACAGCTTCCTTTTTTAACTGTGAGCAATAAACTGAAATAATAGGGCCTGATTCAGAGCTCTCTGAAGTGGCCAGTGGTACTTTGGCTGGTGTGCGTTGGCTTTGGGTGAGGCCCATGAGAAGTGGGGTGGTCCCTACTCAGCTGAAATCCATGGATTTACAAGCCAACAAACACAACTATAAATATGACCGCAGGTGAAAAGAAAATGTGTTGCTAGTCATGCAGTGAAAACTTGTACTTTTAATGATGTCAAGGGCAGTCAGGACATGCATGTAAGCAAGTAAGCATGAGAGGTATTTCTGTTGCTGTTCCTTTCCCCTTGGACGTGTGGAAGTACAGACCATCATCAGGGTAGAACATGGGCTGGGCACTGTGCAGGGGAGATGAGCTGCTGCGCTGGGAGAGCTTTCCTCTGGCTATGCTGAGCACAGCCCTCCAAATCCTTTAGCTATGGCCCATGGTGAGAGCCAGCTGGGAGCATCTGGCCCTCGGGGCTCGGCGTGTGATGTTACAGGCCTGTGTGCTTTGGCTACAAGCAGTTTGGGGATGGTACTGTGAGGCATGGCACCCTCTACCAAGCAGAGCCCATTCCTGATTAACAGCTCTTGAGTGGAGCCTGAATTCCCAAGTTTTTGCCAGCCTGTTTATGAAACAGGTGATCCCCTGAGCATGCTTACTGGGCTGTGAGACCGCAGTGTTGCTGTTCCTTGCGCCAGCTCTGAATTTCTGAACCTCAGCTTTCCACAGTGCTTTTTAAAAGCACAGCAGCAGTGGCAGTCCTGTTCTTTCTACAGATATCCTTCAGACCCATTTTTACTAAGTTCTGTCTCTTCTCCCTGTTTTATTACACATCATGAATGTATTTTGAGCTGTGTCTGGAAATTAAATGGAAAACCGATAAGTAACTTTTGAATCAGAAATGCTCAGAGGAGTGGATCAAGTCTCACGTGCTTTTGAATCTCGGTGCACTGTTGAAAGTTTTGGCATTGCAACTGATAGTGCTGTGTCCTTTCCAAACACTCCCCAGCTCAGAGGGGTGTGAAGAGCAGTAGTGAGCAGCAGCAGTTCCCAAAGGGCTGAGATGGGGCTCTTCAGGAGCTGGGAGAAGGGCATTGCTTCAGCCGTGCTGCAGCCGTGCTGGTTGTGCCATGTCCTGCAGCTCTTCATCGTGAGGACAAGTTTCTGATTGCCGTGATCTGGAGGGTGTTTGGAGTAGCCTTCATGGCTCAAATAGTCTTTGGCTCCCAGCAGGAATATTTAGAGGGTGTAGTTCCTCATAGCAACAAAGCACTTTGTGGCATTTAACTGATTCACCCTTGCAGGTCGACAAGAAGCATTGTCTCCATTTTGCAAACAGGAGAACAAAAAAGCTTGAGAGATGATGGGCCCCCGTGGGCCTAGGTTTGTGTTGACACTTGAACTTTGCTCCTGCCTCTGGATTTTAGTGGGCTTCAAGATGGGAATTATCTGGGAGAGACCAAGCAGGAGTCCTGATGGCCCCGGAAGGGGCTGTAGGTGTATCCCTCTCCTGGATTTGCTCAAGGAAATGAGTTTCAAGAGCATCTGTGTCCCCAGGCTGGGTCTCATTGCAGCGTGCACTGCTCAGGCTCTGAGGAGCAGTGCAGCAACATGTCCAAGGACACATGGGCAGTCATGAATTCACAGCCTGCTCCCATGCCCTTGGCTGCAACTGCCCCTCTCCTCTGTGGCTGGGCAGCCAGAGGCAGCTGGAAGTGGGGTGATTTGCAGCTCTCAGTTACATGCCAGGATCCAGAGTATTTTTCCAGCCATTTTAGAGAGGTGCAGGTCTCTGAGGGGTGGCACTGACAAAAGCTTGGGTGTGCTGCTGGGATGTGTGTGGTTATAAATGAGCTGACCTGCATATTCTGTTTCCTAATCCTGAGTGATACTGTCAGCTCAGAGAGCTGAGCCTGGCTAATGACTGAAATCCACTGTGCTTTTTCTTAGTGAGCATGTGTGGTGATCTGAGATAGTTGTTAAGTGTTACATCCTGAGAACCAGAACTGCATGTGCCCCATGGGTCCGGCATGTTTTAGACAGATAAACGGGGTTTGAGCTGATCAGGGAGTTACTATGAAAAGAACTGATGTCAGGTACATAGTAACCTGCAGTTAACTAGGAGAGAGATTAAATTAATGGGGTTTTCCCTCTGATAAAAGATAATGAAGAGCTCGCAAGCGTGTGGTTTGCAGATCCTACACATGATATGTGTAGGCCACTGGCTTCCTGGCACAGGGAATGACGAACAGCTGTGTGACAAGAGCAATGCAGCCAGTGGTGCACCCCACTGAGTGACATTTGTGCTGTCTGAGACCTTGTCGATACACTCTGAGATGAAGGAAAATAAGAGATGAGGGGGAGGAGAAGAGGAAATGAGAATAGGGACTGCAGGAAGGGGTTCAATGTGTCTTGGGATCCATTGCCATAGAGAACCCATTTCAAGGGAGGAGGGTATGGCACGGTGGGGGGCAAATAACAGCTACAGTCTCTTTTGTGGATTTAGGGTTTACTGTCAATCTTGCGTAAACTGAAAAGTGCCCCAGACCAGGAGGTGAGAATCCTCCTCTTGGGACTGGATAATGCAGGCAAGACAACACTCCTGAAACAGCTGGCATCTGAGGACATCAGCCACATCACACCAACACAGGTGAGGAAGGCTTTTTCCCGCCCAAAGCAGTTCTTATGGTCCCACCTGCCTTATTATACAAAACACTAATGATTCAGCAGAGTGTTTCAGTAAAAGTGGGAGCAACTGGAGCCTGGGGCTCCAGTTTGTGTGTCTTCTGCATAAGAGGAGGCTCCCTGAAGGAGCCAGAGAGCATCATGTCACGCCAGATCTGCCAGGTAGTGTAAAAGTGGATGAATGCTGGTCATGCTAGGGTTGCATGGATGAGACTTTGTTCCTCTTGTCCTTGCCAAATAGGGAACATATACAGAAGATGCTGCAGCATTGGACAAGCCCCTGTCTCCTTGCATTTTTCACCCAGCCAGCTCTGAGGGTCCTGCATATTCCAGCGCTCCCTCTCGATGCCTGTAGTCCTCTTTCTTTGAACCCTGGGCTTGGGTAGAAGGATATCTCCCATAAGAAGCACTGCAGTATTGCTCCTATGTTGACCAGAGGAGGTTGCTAGAGAGCTATGGGAGATGCTTCCCCCCACCTCGTAGCTGCCTCCCAAAGCTCCCAGCCCTGATACCCCAATTCCAAGCCCCAGTCCCCTGGGTGGTGTGGCAGTACGTTGCCAGCCCACGCCACATCCTGTGTTAGTACTTGAATGCACTTTCAGTTGGTGTTCTAATTGATGAAATTGACCCTGCAGACATGCAGCTGTTGGTCTTTTAAGCCCAGCATTAGCTGTGTCATGTCAAATTGAGCAGAGACCTCTGGCTTCATGTTAGCTGGGACTCTCTACTCAGCTTTCACAAGCTTAGTCCTGCTTCTCACAGCAGCCTTGTTTTCTCCTTATCTACAGCTCTCCCACCTCTTCCTGCACCCACCCTGCTGAGCCCTCCCAGGGCACTAAGTAAGTGCATCGTATATCTCCATAGCCATGACAGCATCAACCCTTGACCCAAGAACACTGGCAAACTGATGGTTTGGCACCTGTGTTCACTTTCACCAGTGCCTCTCCCACAGCCAATCCATCTTTATGGCTGCCCAGCCCATCTCACTGCACATTGCAGGCATGGGATATATAAGGTGTTAATGTCTGCCTATGAACGTGCTCCAGCCATTCAGCTTTATGCTCTATGTGGCTTTGTTTCTGCTCTTTCCAGGGCTTTAACATCAAAAGTGTACAGTCTCAAGGCTTCAAGCTGAACGTATGGGACATAGGCGGACAGAGGAAGATCAGGCCATACTGGAGGAACTATTTTGAAAACACTGATGTCCTTGTGAGTATTGGCTGCAATTGAATGCTGTGTTCATGCAATAGCTTTCCAAGGTCTCAGCCAGAAGTCAGGAACAAGTAATGTAATGTCCAAGTCCTCAGCAACACCATTGCCATTGTAACAGGAGTTACTCTGAGTGAAATGGCAAGATTGGTTGGGTGCAGTAAGAAAAATACAGTGATGTTTGGAGAAATCTTTCAGTTGCATGTTTTTACTTTCACAGGATGGTGCTGGTTATAGCCAGTTCCTTTCCTCTCATCTCAGTTTCCTTCAGATGAAAAAACATCAATAACTTGTAGTATACCCATCTATAGGTCCTTTCACTGGAGACTCTGAAGGTCTGTCATGGGCATTAGTGACTTAAGCCTCATGTGTAGAGGTAGGTCAGTATGGTGCCTTTGTTTTCTAGTTGGGGAAACTGAGGCTCAACAGAATTAAATACTATGTCTGGCGTCATATGGGAAAGCTTCTGACTGAGGGACACAGAGAGACCCCCTTGTCTTTTCTTTTGCTCCTTTAATCATAAGATTGTCCTTTAATGTTTTTGACAACTTCGCTGTAATTACCTCAGAATTAGCTACAGATTACTGCAGTTGTATTTACAGTGCAGGACCTTTGTGTTTCCATGCCAGAGGATGTTACCCTCGGACCCTCCAAGTGCTGCCCTGACTAGTTTCAAGTATCACCTCTAACATGCAGCCTTGTGCCAGGGTGAAGGCACAAGGATGGGGGCTTCAGGCCTCTCCCCACCCCAAGCAGTGTTGCCTGTGGGAACAGAGAAAAGACAAAGACTGCAGGGCTCCCATGAGAAAGCGGGAAGCTGTCTCAGAAAGACGTCCTTCCTCCCTCCTGTCACATACATACTAATATATTGTGAGCTTCCATGCACTTCGACAGAAAGATCAGTGTAGCTAGGAATAGGACTCTACTCCAAGGCTCATGTCAGGATCCTGAAGGGCCTGGCTGCACCTGCAGGTTTAGAAAACCGTGTCCAAATGAAGCTGTTATTGAAATGGAACTGATAAACCCTCAGTAATCTCTTTTGCAGATTTCCCCCTTTTCAGCCTGAATTTGGAATCTGATGTTTGAGAGCAGCCACCAGAGCACACACCCTGTTGGTTGCTTTTGCAAAGAGTAATGGAAAGATCAGGATTTGAGAAACTAGCAGAACACACTTTGCATGTTCCTCTGAGGCCATCGAGAAGGGGACATGGCATGGCTGTGAGGTGATTGTGTCCATTGAGTCCAAGCTCTGTAGCTGTGTGTGGTGGGGAGGCAGTAGGTGTGCAGATCAAAGTCAACACTACAAAGCAGCAGCCAGGGTTCTTTGCCTGCTGTTGGCAGTTGCTGAGGCTGCAGAGACAGTACAACCACAAAACGGTATCTGGAAGACTGCTGGCAAAGACAATGAGCTACACTGGCCTGTGGGCTTCCACCTTTCCCAGTGTGTGCTACATGGGAGGTGCAGAAGTAAAGGTGAATTTGAAGGATGAAGGAGATGAAAGCAATTGTTTTCCCTGTCTTCCTTCTACCCCAGTTAAAACAATGTAGAGAAAACCCTTATTTTCATATGAGTAAGAAAAGGGATAGGTAGAAGCAGAGTCACTTTGGGGCAAGCAGCACTGTGAATTCAGAGGGAATAACTGGTGTGTAGATGGACCTAAGCTCCCCTCCTTGCATTCTGTGCTGACAGCCAGCCTCAGAATGTGGGCTGCCAGCATGTTAATGCAGTGCTTTGCTATGTCCATACACACCAGAGCTGGGATCAAGTATGTGCTGGTGACTCTCTGTCTTCTACTAGCCCTCACCCCTGTTCTAGCCAATAATTGTATCCCCTGACAAACCTGGTGCAGGTTGTGCGTCTGTAAATTAAGCCAATTTATCCCTTGTGTTATTTCTTCATCCAGTCCCACCACTTGTAATTTCTGCCCAACCCACTTACTCCAGGTTTTGTTTTGGCATGTCGCTCTAAGGAGGCACCCAATTTACAAGAATTTCTCAAGCTTCATTTCTCCAACAAGCTGTACTTGGTGGCTGTTCAAAGCGACCAACTGTGCTACTGAGCACCACAGCCAGAAACAGGCTCTTGTGTGGCCCTGGCCATAGAAGGAACGTGGAGATGAGACACACTACAGTTCCCAGGACCCCCTGCTTCTGTCTTCTCCTAAAATATATTGCACAAAGCAGAAAGGACCCTCTAAGGAGTATGAAAAAGCAGGAAGTGATTGCAAATTCAAATCCATGCAGGTGCCTTTGAATGAGAGCTTGGTCTTGCATCACACACCTGTGATATTTGGAAGCTTAACCCAGGCAAATAAGGTGTGGATATCTGGCTGATTGCATATTCAGACAGGCACCTGCAGCTATTTGGCACAGTGCTTTCTGGTTTGGAAGTAGGCACTCTGCACATACTTTACCTTCTCTGTGCTTTTGTGGCTTTTGCCCGGAGCACTGTTGTCTTTGCTTCTCATCTTGCAAAATAGCTCCCTAGCAAGGAATGGGAGTAGTGCAGGGGAAAGCCTGGCTGGTTGGGCTCAGATGTCTGCTTTGCCAGTTACAGAAGCACTGTAATAGAGGAGGTTCCGACTTTCAGTTGAGAAAGCCCTTAACTATTTCATTTATGTGTTGCTAAGCTTCCCCTGAGATGTCCCACAGGAGGACAGTCAGCAGTCCAGTTTCACCCCAGAGGACAGCTGCACTGCAGCTTCTTCCTTTCTTTGTGTGTTTCATACCCCCAAATAGGATGCACAGGGTGGATGCTCGGGAAGGGCAGAGAGGACAGGCGTAGCTGACACAGTATTGGTGCCCGTGCTTGGGATCCTGTTGTGGGGAGAGGCTGTGTGTCATGGTGTGCCTTTCCCATCACGTGGCTCCAACAGTGTGCACTGCTGACGCATCCCCACCATGCAGCTACGTCTAGCCCTGCCATGTGTACCCCAGCCTCTGTCAGTGTGCATCAGCCTGGCCTGGGGGGACCACAAGACCTCGAGGGATGAACAGAGAGGTCTGAGAGGTGCTGGGTCACCTCCTCAGCCCTGGCATAGATTCTCTCTCTGCATGTTTGGTCCCGTTTCAAACAAATGTAACAGTGCTCATTAAGGGAGTGCCTACAGTTTAATAGATACTGGTGCTAGAGATCTTCCCTCCCCCTACTATTTGGTCAAAATTATCCTGGAAACGTGGAGTCTTATGCTGAGACTGCCTGCAAGGATGCCATTTATCTTGATGGCGGGGTGCTGTGCTCATCTATTCCCTGAAAACCAGGCTGACACTTGCTCCCTGTAAGCCACCAAAGAGCATGCAGATGACATGCTAGCAGCTTCAATCACTGCTGATGGGGAATGGCAGGGACTGGAAGCAAAATGCTCAGTGTTTGTCACCAGTCCTGTCCCTGTCTGCTGTCCCAGCGCCCTTCTCCTTCAAAAACCTTCCCCTACCACATAATGAAAAAAGGATATCAGGCTATTCTTGCCCAAGTGTTAAACTGGGGTTCCCTGTTTCTTTAGATGTAGCTTTATACTTGTATGATCTCAACAGCAACAGCATTGCTAGGGGTAAGGAGGGTGGCCGGACTTAATAAGCATGTATTTAGGGGGACCTTTAAGGAGCCTTTTAGCCTGTGTAGACCTAGAGCTGCCTTCACTGAGGTCTTGTTTGCATTTACAGACAGAAATGGGTACATGCCGTGGTATTGGTGAGGGTGGAGAGCCCCTCCCAAGGCAGGGAGCCTGCGGGCTGGGGGATCCACCCTTCTTCATACCAGGGAACAAGTGTCTGGCTGGGACCTCCTTGTGGACCATGAAATGTGGTGCCCAGCCCTGAGAGGGTGGCAGGATTGTATTGTCTGTCTTCATAAGCCAGCTGCTCCCCGTTTTCTCCATCGTAGAATCATAGAATGGTCTGGATTGGAAAGGACCTTAAGACCAGGGATGATTCACACTAGACCATCATCCTGGTGGACAAGCTGGTAGCTGGAGTCTCACAGGCTCCATCCAGCCCTTCTCCCCAGCTGCTTGCTCCAGGATGTTGCAGTAGGATCACTTGATAGGGAGGAACTGAGCGTCCTAAATGCATTCAGCTGCCCCGAGTGCCATTGTCTGCCTTGGTGGCTTATTGAGGTGATGGGTCCTGCTAGAGGGCAGCACAGCATAGTCACACCAGTGCAGTGGTTGTACACTTTGCTAGACCATGTCTGGCTCCGCAGGTTTTGTCTTCCTGTGCTCAGCTTCAGCTTGTAAGCTGGTCATTTGGAAAGATACCAGGCAGATACCTGTTCTCTTTGGATAACAAATGCTGTGGAGATGGTGAGAACATCCTCAGTACTGACCCCAGGTCCCTTCTGATCCTACCCACATGGCTCTCCATCCCACCCCCTCCACCCCCCAACCCCCACTTTAAAAGAGGTGGTTCCTCTCCTTTCAGAATGTCTTGAAGTTTTGTCAAATTTTGCTTTAAATAATACTGGGGATCTTTGTGCCCAAAAGCATAATCATTAGGCTCAGCTCACTTAAGCACGTCATATTGTAGAATAGTGTCTTCTGGGAAGAATAACTTCTCTCTTTTCTTTTTCAGATCTATGTCATTGACAGCGCAGATAGGAAGAGGTTTGAAGAAACGGGTCAGGTAAGTTACTTATGCCCAGCTTCCTTTGAAGTAATCGAGTGCTTCTGAGTGCCCCTTGCTCACAAAAGTTAGGAAGATGGTTTTGTTGTTTATGAGGGAAATTTGCATTTCAAGAGACTTGCCTTTCAACATCAATGCAGATTATTTTGGTAGATGTGAAACAAGGAAAATAGGTAGCCTAATTCCGTTTAAATGGAACGGTTTTCATTGAAGTTGTACAATAATAGCAAATGGAGCCTAAGACTGAAAGCAAAAACTTCTCTAAATCCTTTAAACCTTGCCAAACCAAGACCCTGAGGAATCCTGTTTTCTTATTTACAGAGTTGAAATGGAAATCATATTGACTTGATTGTCTTTTGGATGTAATTGAAAAAAAAAAACCCAAATTAAGAACTTTCTAACTAAGACTGGCCAGAAAATAAGATTTCTGTTTTGCAAAGTTTTGATCTTTTGCAACATTTTGTGTTTTAGGATAGAACAAAAATAGGACTTTTGAACTTTCTTTTGTAAAATTCAGGAAGTGACATTGTCCCAAAATAGCTAGCAACAGATTTGTCCCCTAGAAATGGGAGATTTAGATTAAAGCCCTCTCTTCTGTTTGATTTGAAGGAGACACTTGATCTTTTGCCTCTCAAGTGTCATGGACAGTATAACAGCAGAACTATTGGTTGTTCTAGGGGTGGGGGGAATCTTTCCCCTGCTGGAGCTATTTCATTTTATGTCAGCAATTAAATACTTACTGGGCAAAAGAGAGGGGGGAGAGGAAGCAGATGCTTAGAGCACCTTCCCGAGTCAGGTGGAGTCAGCCTGGACCCCTTGTATTTCCACAGACACTTTTGGTTTCAATAAATCAGCTGTGTTGCATGAAAGACCTATTTTGTTGAAAATGTCCCAGCCAACTCTGTAACTCCATTCTCTCATCCTGGTTTCAAACCAAACATTGCTTTTGGGGGCGATGGAGTCAGATTTCTTTTGCAGTTCAGCATCTCCCCAACTGCACTCATATAATCGAAAATTTTCTAGCCAGTGGATGAAAGATGTTAGGACAGTATCTGAAAGCATGAGACCTCTCCAGCTAATTAAGGAGCCCACAAAAATCTCATGTACTCATCTATCTGCAATGCTAGCAGTCCTTACAGGTTCAAGTTCTGCTGGGTTTGTCATATCTTTACATAGGGAAGTGACTTGAGACTCTGTTTGTTTCACATGAAGCCATTGCACAACTCTCGACATGAAGCATTTCAGCCGCTGTTGATCCACTGCAGATTCAGATTTGAGCTATTAAAAAAGTCTCTTTGAGTCACCCAGTTTTGAACGAACAAACCCATTTCTCAAGATGCCACCCAATGTGTGCTGTGCATATGGAGCCAAAATCCAGCTAGTAAAGCTAGCTTGTCTTCAGCTAGCCAATGCCTTCAAAAACGCTTTCTTGTGGGACGGAGATTTCCATTTCTGGGGATGAAAAAAATCCTCTCCTGCTCAAGTTGCAATGTATAAAACTTGGAACAAACCCCTGAAACTCACTGTTAGCAATATCAGGCTGTTGTCAGTGGCTGCTCAGGTACAAATGCCAGTCAGGCAATAACTTAAGACAGATTCCTCATACTGCCAATTTACATGTCTTTTGCTGTTTCATCAATTTTGGTCTCCTGGGAGCAGGACTGGTAAAACACAGAGTTGTAGCCTTTAAGGCAACTGCTAATTTCAGACTAAGATGAAGATTTTTGTAACCTGTAATTGGAAGAAATAGCTTTTGAACCTTGGGCAGAGATGATTGTATACATTTTTGCTCTCTTATAATAAGATCTAGGTTTCATTGGAACATGCTCTTCTAGCATTTGCCCTAAATATATTTCTAATTAGAGACAACCACTGGTGGTTGAAGGTTTTCTTCCCTTCCCTCTCTCTGTCTTTCCCCCACCCCACTCCCTTGTAAACGATACAGGAGCTGGCTGAGCTTTTGGATGAAGAAAAGCTTAGTGGAGTCCCAGTGCTCATATTCGCTAACAAGCAGGATTTGCTGACGGCTGCCCCTGCTTCAGAGATTGCTGAGGGACTGAACCTACACACAATCCGGGACAGAGTGTGGCAGATCCAGTCTTGTTCGGCTCTTTCAGGAGAGGGAGTACAGGTGAGGCTCTGGAGAAGGCTTGCTGTGCCAGCAGGCCATCTGTAAGAGATGGTTGTCTGTTGATACACAGGGTGGGGCTGGACCGGCTGCCCCACAAAGGAGGGTCAGCACAGCCAAACCCTTGCAGTGTGGAACACAGGGCACGTGTCTTGTCGCCTGTGCAAAGGGAAGGGGAGCTGTGGGCCCACATCCCCAGGAAAGGGGAGAGCAGTTGCATCCCCACCCAGGACCCCCTGGCTGGGCCAAATGACGGCATTGATTTATTTTAAAGAAACTGCTGTCAGGTTAATCATTTTCACAAAACAAATCACCTTCTGGTGTTAACCCCCTTTGAGTGTTACAAGTGTGAGCTTTAGAAACCTGATTTACCTTTGCTGCTAACGTTGTTTGGCATTTTGCTCAACCCAGATGCCAGAGAGAAAACGTTCAGTTTTTCTGGTCCACAGGAACACAAGAGTTGCAAACACGGGAAGGACCGCTTACAACGGCAGCATGCGGGGCAGCAAACCCCATCCTGGGGGGACTGAGCTGTATTCCTGTGCTGAACTGTAATAGCTGTGTCTTGGGCTCCTGTGCTGTAGCCAGTTCTGCAGTATAGTAGCTCTTTGTAATGTAAATGGGACCTAGGTTTGTTTATTTCACTCTTAGGCTTTCCTGAATTAATGAAATATTTGCAGTGCTCACAATCCGAGCAGTTGGGAATACTCCCTTCACTGGTATTTAAAGAAACATAATGGTGAAGAGATTTATCTTCCTTGCAGTTTCAGTAAAACCTTACTTGCAGATGCCACAGAGCTGTTCGGGATAGTCAGATCTCAAGCTGAGTATGAAGAGCTGCAGAAGGAGCCCACAATACTGAGTGGGCAGTAAGATGGCAGATGAAATTCAGTGTTGACAAGTGCAAAGTAATGCACGTGAGGAACAACAATTTTAACTATACACATACAATGATGGACTCAAATGAGCTGCTGTTACTCAGAAGTAGACCATTGGGAATAGCAGCTTACTGCTTATCAAAGGGCAGAGAGGAAAATCAAATACTAGACAATTATCAGAGGGCAAACAAGAAACATCCCAGAAAACATTTCCTTTGTAGCAGGATAAAGGCATTGTGAGCCCATACCTTGAACATGACATTTAATTCTGCATCTGCCTTGTCTAAAAAGACTTCAGTAGTAGTAGAATCACAGAGTCCACCAAAAAAAAATAGGTTGAAGGGTCTTCAGATCTTTAGACCAATCTCATGTTTAAAGTGGGTCAAACTGTGAATCTAGAAGAGGTTGCTGAGGGCCTTGTCCAATCGAGTTATTAGTATCTCCAGGCATGGAGATGCTGCAGCTTCTCTGGGTGAGCTCTTCTAGCGCTTAACTATACTCACCAGAAAAAATACTGTCCTTATATCTGCTCAGAATTAGGAGAGATTTGAGAATCCTCTGGTGAGAATGATCAGTAGCACAGAGTGGCATCTATACCTGGGGATAATAAATAAATTAGAACTTTCAGCTTTGAAGAGAGAGGATAGGGAGTGGGAACATCTTCAGGATTTATAAAATAAGGTGTAAAAACGTCAGCTAGGCTGTGTGCTATTTTTCACATTGCTAGAGGAAGGGCGTTCCTAATGGAATAATCAGCATCTTAAAAGAAATAAAAATAAGTGCTTCTTTGCCAGTTGTGTAATTAAATTGTGGATCTCACTGGCACAGGATGTTGTGCAGACCAGAGGTATCAGTTGGTTCAGAAAAACACTGAGTGAATTTCAGAAGAGATCTTCAGGCAACCTCTGACCATTAGGATCTGGAGGCAGCTTTTGAATGAGGAACAGCTTGAACCGTGGCCTGGGAGGATAGAACAGACCAAGAGAGATCCTGTTCCTACATGTTCTTTCTTGTGGCATCCAGAGAGGGGGTGCTGGCCTGGCTGGACCATTGATCTGACCCGGTACAGCAGTTCCTATTTAAAATTCTTGCCAGATGTTTAGACTTAAACATAGTAGATGGTGTCCTTCCAAATGCCTTTATTTAGTTAGCCAAGATGCAAATTCAGCTGTGTTGCAGCCCATCTTGTGAAAGGCTTCAACTCTCATGTTTATTTTGAAGAGGTGGTGGTAGAGGGAAAGGCATTCCACAATGGCAGTGTATATTCAAGTCCAAAGAAATGTGATCAGGAAAGTGGGGCTGCAGTTCACAGAGTTGCAGGCAGGCAGAGGTCACCTTCTTCCCTCCTCCAGGCCCTCCTCTAGTTTATGGAAGTCTAACTGAGCTCTCCAGCTGCAAAGGGGCAGTAAAGAGGCAGATGAAATTCAGGGATGTGTGTAGGATAAGGAAGAACTAAGAGACAAGAAGTGGCACTTTGTGAGCTTTGAAAAACACTTCCTTCTTAAGCTAATCAGTGGGCTCTCTGGAGTGGGCTGCACACTTCTTCACTGATGGCACCTTCTTACTGTGCCTTTTCCTTGAAGTACACTGCTTCCCTATACAGTCAGTAAACTATGCAGCCCAATACCCTCTACTGGGGAAAGGAAATCTGCTTCTGCATTCACTTCCAGAAAAAAAGAAGCTAAATACAAGTATTTATAGGCCTATATATTTTGTTCATCATGCTTATCTAGACAAATTAATTTAGATGCAGGCCAGATAACATTTTGCTTTGATGTCAGAAGTCTCATTGCCCTAAATACTGCAGCTTATTCCTTAAATGATTATTGCCGAAAGGTCAGGGGAGTCACAAACTCTTTATAGCTTATAGCAAATAGCCTCTACATTTCTCTTCTGCCATAACCCCAGCCCTGTCAAATCAGACAGCAAGAATGCCAAACTCTCCCTTGCCTTGGTAATTCATTGAACAAAATAGTTTGGGGGATGGCTTTTAAACTAAACCTGGATCAGCACAGGAAGAAATGGCATCTTCAGTCCTGGAACTCTGAGAAGAGGTCAACGTGCTCAAAATTTAGGGGAATCAAAGAAGAACTTGCGTAGAGAGTGAGATTAAGTAAGACGTTTTTGAAGATCATGGTACATAATATCTCCCTCTACCAGTGGCTGTGAACAGGAGCTCTCTATGTGCAGTTAAATCTCGGGTCTTTGCTTTGAGGACTTCTTTGAGAAATGACAATGAGTGACAGCACAATAAATGAAGATGTGGAAGCATCAGGTACTCAGAATGAAAGCCAAGGAGTGAGCACACTTAACCGTCGCCACTGATGGAATATATTAGCTAGAGGACAATTGGAGACATTACTGATGGATTTTGCAAGGAAGAGTGGTGGCATATCTAGTACTGAGTGCATGAAAGAAGAGTTCATAGGGGAAGATTTTTGTGATAGCTTGAAGGGAGAGCAATGAGCAAAGATAAATAATGCCAATACATGAAGGAGAAATAGTTTGAAGGTCATTTAATTAGTTTAGCTGCTAGCACCATGGTGTATAGAATTGGGTAGTTAAGACTGGGAATTTCAAGGTTAATGAGATTAGATTATGGTTAATAGAATGATATAAATTTAGAGAATTTAACTATTATTTGAAATGGGTTGTTTAATAAAACTGTTAATTAAGGAGGGAATCCATATTGTCATCTTCTATTTTAAAATTAACCACTGGGGGCTCTGGAAAAGGGCCCCAGCAATGTCCTGGGCAGGCTCAGAAGAGAGGTGACTGGGTTAACTGGAACCCGTGTAGTGTCCTTGACTCCAGCTGGCAGCCTCTTACACAGCTGAAGACTTCATTACCTCCTGATTGTAACTGTGGGCAGCTCTTGCCTTGTTAGTCAGACTTCATGGCGCCATTGAGGGAAGAGTGGCATTCCTCATGCTTAGAGACTTTTTCAAGCAAAATGTCTGCTTGGGTCTGATTTTATCCTTCAGCCTTAGTTAGGAATGCAGGAAAGCCTTTTCTTCTTGCCACAGAGCACAGCAAACAAGGAAGGTGATCGTCAATGACAGCAGAGAAACGTAAGGGAACCGTTGCTGCACAACAGCTCTCTGGTGCCACATAGGCTCTTGGGGTTGTGTTTTGTGACCAGATCTCCAGCTGCAGTCTTTGGCGTGCAAGAGCTATGTACATTTCACTTTGGCCGGCCAGGGTAGGGTGAAAGCAAGGCAGGACTCCTCTGTTTTGCTGTCTGCCCTCTTGCTGGAGTGTTATTTAGGGGCCAGGATGTGTATTAAACATGACTCAAGGCTTTGGACTGGTCCATGCTCTGCAGTTTGTTTCCTGTACGAAGCAAGACTCTCCAATCAAGGCAGCAGGAGCTCAGCCTGCCCCTAGAAGTCATTCTCCAGAACGATGCTGCAGTGTATTGCATCCACAGTGTCCCAAGCATAATGCCCCCCTGGAGACCACTAAAAGCCAGTGGAACTGAGAGTAGCCACTAAACTTCTCTAATTTATTCCAGAGTTGGTCTGGCCCAAAGGACTGTGGGAAGGGCTGAGCCGCCTTCTCCTTCCTGGCTCTTTCAGCCCAGTTGAGACTGAAGCCCAAGACCAAAGTTACACCCATGCTGTGATTCAGTGCTTTCATAAGTGCAAGATTCAGAATAGGACCCCCCTGCAATGCTGTATCTTCTGAGCTAGGTTTTGTCTTAAAGATGTCTTATCCAGGGCATCTAGATGGGGCAGGGATCTTCCATGTCTTCACAAGGTTCTGCAGCTACTTGTAAATGTGATTTAAAACCAATTTCAATGACTGCAGCTCTCCTGGGGCAGGCAGAGTGAGTACTTATTGAGGAAAAACAACCATGGTTCCAGATTTCATGGCAAAGTCTTGTGTTTTTTAAGCAGAGTAAGGAGGGAGTCTACAGCGCTGCATCAGGGATACAAGGTCTCAGAGGACAAAAGAAAAGCCTGCACCCAGGCAAAAGACAACGGATAAGGTACTTGCAGGAGCCTGTGAAAGCCAGCCTATATGATAACTGGAGGTGCAAAGAAATGACAGATAATGAAAGCACAGTGCTAGCTGTGCAGTGGGAGAAGAAAGTGACAGTTAAAATAACGCATACCAAAAATGCTAGAGATGGAGAATTTTGCACTTGCCTGACCCAATTTGTTATGGCAGACAGAGGATTACATGAAAAGATTAAGCTCTGCTGTCCTTAAGGTCATGTTAGGGGTCACAAGTTTGTGGCCTTGCCTGATCCCTGGCTTACAGGGGAGCAGAAATTGGGAGGCTTTTTATAGGGTGGAAAGGACTTGTTTGCTGTGTTTGAAGTCAGATTACTTCACTCCCATAACCACAAAGCTGATAATGCCAAGAATAAGCAAGCAGTGGACTAATCTCAAGCAGGACTTTTTATTTCTCCTGGGGAAGGCTCTACCAGTCCTTTCCCAAAGGGCGCTAGAGTACAACTCCCTTGGCGCAAGAGCAGATGTGACTGCAGCAAGGCGGGGTTGTGCTGAGCAGGATTTCTCTGCAAGGAGCATTATCACCTTCCCTGGAGTTCTCTCTTTTTACTTTGGTAAAGTTTACTAGCCGCTTGCTAAGGAGCTGAGAGAGGCAAAGCTGAAAGATCTGAAATCTTTCCCTGGCTGAGTTTTCCCAGGGTTGACTTGAGGCTGGAATACTAATATTGTATTCGTCTCCATCCTCAGAGTACCTGCCAACATCTCTGTGTCTCAACAAAGCAGCACAAGGACATCTATCAAGATCTAAATGTTACTGTAGGGACTGTACTTTTTGCATAGAGCCATCTTTTAAGCATGCAGATGTAGGGACAATGTGTGTAGAGGCAAAGGATGACAACAGTTGACTCCTTGTGGACTTCATTCTTTCAAGCGCCATTTCCTCCCTCCCATGTGCCCTCCCCATAGCAGCTCTTTGTGTTTGCATCAGCTTCCCTGGATTTCTCTATTTTACCAACCCTCCATTCTGCTTCAAACCTTAGGTAGAAAAACTGCAAACATACCTTATGGTTTCTTTTGCTCTCCATTGTGTTTGCTGTTCTCCAGAGTATTTGGGGGTGCAGCAGAACACACACTCCCAAAGGTGCACCAGAAGCTATGGATGTAGCAGTGATGTGGCTGTAGGTGAGGAAGGTGTCTCACACGTACCTCTCTGATACAACACACGTAGAGCTTAGCATATTCATTTTCTTGTTAGCACTGTCAGACAGGGAGGTATTTACAATTAAACGTGATTTTTTTGTGCCAGGTAACTTATGCCAGAAGAGAGGGTTTTTAAATCATTTCTTGATATAAAAGTTTGGTGACCTACTTCCGTATTTCAAGCCTGTTTGGAGTTCACCTTTCCTCTTGCATTTTGCTATGTCATTCTTTTGCCCTCGTTAAATGCTTGATGCAGACAGGCTCCTAGCTGTGGTAAATCCCATCATAAACTCTGCTTTATGACCCTCGCCACACTGGTGCGGAAACGGTCTGTCTGTCCCCCTTCCCGAGCTCCCAAATGGCAGCAGGCAGAGTTTTAATCACTGTGAATTCAGGTTGTGGTCAGATTAGGTAGAAGATAGGATGCGTGTTTGTTATTTTGCAGTGATGTATTGTTTCTGGGATTACTGTGCTGAATAGCAGAGGGTGTCAGCTGATATTTATTACTTTAAGCTGTCTCAGCTGTTCTGGTTCAGCAAATAAACCTACATTCAAAATGAATGAGGAGCTCTGCTTGCCTTGTATGCCATGATGTGTGCAAATGTGATTATTGCTTCCGAGGCAGGGGAAGCTGGAATCGTTGTGGGAGCATTTTTAGTTATTTATTTATTTTTACTCTTTGCAGGCAATCATGCATATTTCTAAAGCACACAATCAAGCCAAAGGCTTGACACCTCTCTTCCTAGCCCCATTGTTAAGCCCTGGCATTCCTCATGCTGGGAATCACTCGCTCCTTCTCTCTCTCTAAAGTGATAAGCTTTAAACCACACTATTGATTGCTTAAGGCATTACATGTTTTACACCTAGGTTATCAGTGTTATTGAAAGGGGAAGACACAAAGCTACTGGGCCTTAAAATGAATCTACCTCTCATCTTTTCCCATTTGCTGTGAGGATTTCAGACAATTTGTTTTACACTGATCTCTGCTGTGGAGATAAATAAATGAAACTGGAGACATCAACCCTCCCCAAGGTTAGAGTTAGAAGTGTTATTAGCGTAGGGCTTCATGTGCACTCCAGCACAGAAGCTGGGCCCTCTTTTTCTTTATTTAACACAGCAACAAGGGCTGATTTCAAAAGTTGCTGCTCCCCTTCAGATAAGAAGTGTCACATAGCGCAGCTATCAAGGTGAATTGGTATTTTCAAGTGAGAACTCCTCTGCTTCTGATTAAGCCCTGAGGACTCCCTCTCTTCTCTCTTAACTCTTTACCTCCCTTCTGAGATGGCCACCACCTTGGTGGCTGAGGGGCAGCATGGAGGCATGGCAGTGGGTCTCTGCTCACCCAAAGGTCCTGCTGTGCTGTGCCTTTGGCTCTTTGTCCTTGGAGAGGTTGAGGTCCTTGGTAGCTTTTTGGCAGTCTGGGGACAATGGTGCAGGAAGCCAGCAACACTGCTGCCACAGGGCTAGCCACTATGCTGGCCCAAAGGTTCTGATCTTTTTTCAAGGTCTAGTTGTAATTTTAATGATCTAAAAATGACCACTGAATATAATAGAGTGAAATCCCCCTGCCCTGGACTCTAAGGTAATGTTTGCCCCATTTCAGAGCGCAAAGGTGTGCTGTTCCCCTCTCATCCCCAGACCTCTACCTTTTGCCCCGTGCCTCCCTGTCAGCAGAGACACTACATAGGCATGGCAGAGGTAATCGGTTTGATGGGGCACAAATATGAGGAGACTATGCATCTTGATCTCCATTGTGTGTGTCTCCTAATAGATAAGGGACAGGAACAGATAAAGTCTTGGTTGGCCTTCAATAGCGTGTCCCATTCTGGGATATGAGCAATAAACTCACAAATGAGGTATTCACAGCAGAAGTGCTACTGTCCTGCTTGCTGTGGTCAGAAAAGCTGCCTGAAGAATGTATCAGCCTCTTAAAACATGACCACATCACTTCTCACTGAACCCCTGTGGAGCCCCTGAGGGCCCATTTTCTGTGGGGGCCCCAAGGAACAGGGAGCAGGGTCCAGATCCAGTTATTGCAGTGACTTTCATGGATCTGGATTTCAAGGCTTGCAGCTGAGCAGAGAATTAGAGCCATATTCTTAGCAGGGAGCTGACTGTATAGCAAGCAGCCCCCTAAAAACCACGGTCTTAAAGATAAGATGACTTGCCCAAGGTTACACAAATCATCTGTAGCTGAATCTGGAGCTGAGCCTTCATCTGCCACTGATGCAGCTCAACTGCAAAGTGATCCTTCCTCGAAGGACCTATGCATTGTGACATGATGAGACGATGATGCTTTTTATGGTCAGATGAAAGATTTAATAAGCTCTGTGTGACAACATCTGCTGAGCAAGGAAGCACTTATTTTTTTAACCCACAGTGGTTTTGGGTGCAGGGAGCAGGCGGAAGGTGGGTGAGGAGGCAGAACACGGTGCCTGCAGTAATGGTGACCAGGTGGGATTGGGGGATTCCTTTTCCCTTCCTTTGACTAATGTTACCTTTCTCTGTCTGAAGGACGGCATGAATTGGGTGTGCAAAAATGTCAATGCTAAGAAGAAATAAAGCGTTCAGAGCTGCATGGAAATGGAGGAGCGGTGGGAGCAGAATTCTAGCCTGAAAACACTAATTTGCTGCTTTCTGACCAAATGTTTTTCCATCTGTGCACAGCTACAGCTGTTAAAAGGAAAAAAAAAAGAGAGAAAAAAGGGAACAACACTGGTTAAAACCTACTGCTGGATTTGGAACTTGACCTGCTCTTTAGTGTCATTTTTTTACCCCAATAAAGGAATTCTATATTTCCTCCCTATGCATAAATAGTATTAAATGTCTATTTAGCAAGCAAGTTTGTTAGCAGAAGCAAGACTGTGATTCAGTGTGGTGCAGAGGGAGCGGTGAGTTCCTGTAGTTGCTTAGATGCATAGGACCTGCCCTATACGTGCAGGTCTGCGGTTGCTGAGGACATGCTCAGGTGTCAGTCACAGCTTCCCCTCAGTGATAGATAAAATGCGGTTGTGTTACCAATTGTGGGTAGTTTCTTAAAATAAAGCTGCTAAGGAGTCGTTTGTGTAATGAGGGTAGAAGACTTCCGCACATTCCTATAGCCATAAAAGAGGAGTTTGATCATAACGAGGCACTGTTGCATTGCGACACCGCTGAAGAAGGGAGGGAAGGGTTATATGTGTATAATTGAAGCTCTCTACAGTTGAAATAATGCAGGATGAGCGTGCCTAGGGCTTTTCTCGCAGCTGAAGGAGAATTCAGCCTAGCATTTCACCTTGAGCCAGCAAAAACGTGGTTCCTACGTTCAATAAGTTCCATGTGCGAGATTAGTCTTGATGTTGAACAATCCCTCTTGATTTTCCCTTGATGTTAAGGCAACTCTGCAGCAAAATGCAATTAAGTCCATGATTACTTTATAGAATGAGATACCAGGTCCCAGGTTTCCTTTTCGAAATGTGCAAAATATGTTCTCCTACCCCTCCCCCCCCCCCCCCTTCCTTCCTTGGCAGGCTTGGCTGAGCCCTTCAAGGGACTCAAGGGGGCTGCCCCATGGTGGGCTGGTTGCCCAGGGCCCGAGGTCCCCCCAGGATTGTCCTGGTGGAGGGTGAGGATGCTGATGAACAGCAGATGGGAAGCGCTCTTTAAAGCGAGGATTCATTCTTCTCCAAACTGGCTTTGCTCTAAAAGGATGCGGTTGCTGAAATAGAAAAGGGAATGTGTTTTCCACCTCCTCATCCCCAATTCAAATCTAGCCCCAGCTGACAGTGAGCAGGAGTCATTAGCACGCCAAAGCAGCCATGTCCCGCATGAAGTGAGCTTGGTGACTCCTGGGCCAGTTTCTAATGCACAGATGGTAAAATAATCCCACTGCCCTGCTTGCCAGCTTTGTTTGCTGCCTGCCTGCGAAAGGCCAGAGCATGACTAGGGACTGCATTACCCCTTCCACCTCTTGGAGACAGACCGGCGGGCAGTGTGGGGAAAGCTGCATGTACTAAAGCATGTGGCTTCACCACGCGTCAGCGAGTTGACTCATGGACCCAGGCAGACGGCTGACACCCCTGGAGCTCCCAGCTCTTTGCTCCTCCCTTCCCCTGGATGTCTCCACCTCATGGCAGAAACATCTGCACTGTACGTGAAGCAGCCTCTGGCTGCCTATATCTTACAGCCCTGCAGATTAAAGTCATCTGGGGCCGATCCTTGGTCCCCCCATACATCAGGGTGTATAGTAGTGTTTGGGGATTGATCTATGTGTAGTTCAGCTGTCTGTGCTGTGGCTGGGGGCCGAGGGACAGCTGGGACAGCAACTGCTTTAGCAATCCAAGTTTAATCTGCCTGCGTCCGTGAGTCAGCACCCTCTGAGTGCATCTGTCTCCAGCACCGAGGCAGGACACGCATGCCAGAATAGCACAGCCTTGCTTTAAAATCCAGACGACTGGGAGGAGGGGGAAGAGCAGGCTCAAGTGAGCTGTTAAGCAATCGCTAATGACAGAGTGACACAGCTCCGGCTCTGCATGGGTTGAGTAAGGAGTGCTACGATGAGAGATTCTCATTTAAACATAGCTCCTTCAGTGACTCCCCAGCTGCAGTGGCTTATCGGGAAGCCGAGGAATCTGAGCATTGCGTGTTCCTGGGTCAGCCCAAGGAGGAGAATGCATCCCAGCAGCGCCTTTCCCTAGCAATTAATGCATTTGCTTGATGCAAGCACTGTAAAGAATTGCAGCCCTTGCTTGTAGGCATGCTTTGTGCTGTCTGAGTGACAGAGCTTTGTGAGAGCTACTCCTGAGCTTTGGGTTTGCCTGTACTGCATGTCAGCTACAGAGTGAAATGCTTGGGTACCCATCCCCTGGCCAGGCAGGACAGAACAAAGTCCCCTTGGGAGCTTGGGCTTTGATCCTTCTCACTTGTAAAGGGGTTGAGTTACTGCTTCCCTGCTCCCTACTATTTTACCAGAGGCAAACCTACCCTGTGACCCTCCACCTGTGCCACAGTTCGCTTCTAGATCCAAAAAGCATCCAGGAGGGTAATTTGGTGTTTTTTACGCTCACAGAAGTTAAACTTGGAAATGTGTGTAAAATGAATATGTAGTTGTTTCCCTGTCACTTGAATTTGGAAGCAAAAATTGCCTTACTGAACACAGGATCCAGAAGTGTTTGCTGGCTCATTCATTATGTTTGCATGTAGCTACACATACTGGTTGTGTTTATCTGTACCAGCCAGAGCTTCACCTGTAATCCAGGAGATTAATTGGGTTTACCTGCACCAAGTAGTAAGTGAGGAAGACCTTGCTAGAGTGTGCTGTGCTGGGAGGATGGAGGCGGGGGGTTAAAATGACCATGATGCAAGTAAATCACCCTGCAGTGATGGCTGTAACTGCGTTTTGTATTGTAAACATCTCTCTGTGTATCCACCTGGTGAAAATGTGAAAGGATTTGAGGTTGTGTTCTTGCTGCTCCTTATCTGAATGTGTTTACATCTGTTATACCCTCTGCAGGGCTCTCTTCCCTTGGCAGCACCTGGCTAAATACCGCCTGCAAAACTGGCTAGGGCCAGCCCAAAACGCCTGCTTCTGCGCAGAGAAACCCATTGCCCTCTCCCAGCCCTTCAGCTCCCATTTGGCTTATGGTAACTGCATACGCCAGGCTTTGTCCTTCCAACTCTGCCTGCTTTGCCCTCCTTTAAGTGAGATTCAGGGGAAGCAAACCAACCATCTCATTGGTATGGGAGGAGCTCTGCCACGCGTCGCATCAATTCATAGATGTTTAAAGCCGGAAGGGACCATTCTGTTCCTCTCTCCTGACCTCCCTTCCCTCATAACACAGCCCATTAAATGCCACCCCGCCAGCACGGTGACTTGTGGTTGAATTAGAGCATCCCTGGTAGGAGGACACCCAGCCTTGATTTAAAGGCTCAGGGTGACAGATCCAGCCCAGGCCTTGAGGAGTTTGCCGCAGGGTTTAATCCCCCTGCTACGGGGAGTTTGTCTTGATTCACTATCACATCATTAAATGTGGTTTTACCTTTGCGGTAGATGGACAATGCCTCTCCTGCCCCTTCTGTGTTCTCAGGAGGGGAGAGATGATGGAGAAGTGAAATTCTCCAAGGGCATATCAGGAAGCGAGAGTCCAAACCCCTGCTCTCACTGTGAGTGTTGTCCTCCTCTGGCTGCAGCTCTGATGGAGGATCTCTTCTCTCCGTGCCCTTGGAGAATGCCTGCCAAAGCCTCATGTACCCTTCTCCCATTTTTGCCCCTACCAATACTGCTTCTTGCCCATGAATGACCCTCTCTCTGTCTAAATTATAACTGATCACCAGACTTTCTCCATTCAGTGTACTGGGAGGAGACCAGCCCGCTCCAGCTCTCCTGGGCCCAACAGGGCTCACTGCTCTGCAAAAGCAAATGGTGGCCACTGTTGCGTTCCCTGAGCTGGCCGGGTCCACACAAGCTCTTTCTTTTATGTTCCCTTTTGGAGTGTCACCAGAAAGGAGTGTTTGCAATACCTGGCCATGTTGTGACTCAGTGTATAATGGAGATGTCTTTGTCACATAAAAGAAAAAAAAACAGAAAAAAATAAATAAATTAAAATTTAGTAGAAACACAGCTCGTGTTTGGGGTGATCCTTTTGCTTCCACAGGCTTATTTCCCAATGAAGCGGCTGAGGAGCCGCCGCACAGTCTGCGGGGACGCGCTTCCACCACTCCCCTCCGTCTCCCCATCAGAGACAGCTGCCAGTACTAGAAGTGGTCAAACAGTTGGAAGAAGCCTTTTCCCTTTGGATTTTCACTTGTCCAGAACTCTCGGAAAAGCCTGCCAGCGGGAAAGCCAAACTTCGGGACGATCTTCCCATGTCAGGAACCATTTTGTAGGTTAAAAAGCAGCGTGTCAGGGAACACGTCCCCACCGACCTGGCAGGGGAAGGGAAGGGGAAAAAGAAAAGCAGCAAACAATCTGGGTTTGGTTCAGGGGTTGGAGGGGGTTTAGAGGGAGGGAAGCGAATTCCGGGGTTGTTCCTTTCCAGCTAATTTGACTCATTACTGTTCCAAGAAGCGAGAAGCCAGTAGAGCTCTTAAGCATCAGGTCCCTCCCTGCACGGCCGGGATGCCTGGAATGCTGTCGGAGCCGCTGGAAAAAAACCATTATGGATGGTCACACTTAATTCCTTTTCTCTCCTTTTTTTAAGGCACGCTTTATCCCGAGCCCTGGTATTTTTTCCGCAAAGTAGGAAATACTTTTTCATCTCGTTTTGCCTAATGGATTGGATGCAAAAAATATTCCTCTGGCAAGTGAACACCCTGAGAGTTGTTTGACTTGTCACGACGTTATGTATCGGCCCCGGAGGCCCCAGCCCCTGCTTCCCCTCTCCCGGTGCTGTTTACGGTGCGACGCGCTGTAATTTATGGCGAGGCTGGTTGTGACCTTGCATGCGTCTGCTGGGGCGAACCGCAGCGCGCTTCCCCGCACGAGCCCCGCTTTGCATGCACAGGATGAATGAATTTAGTGCTCCCAAAAGGGCGAGGATCCGAGTGGATTGGCTGTGGGGAGGGGAAAAATAATGCTACTAATAATCCACAGCCTGGAGGAGAAATAAACACTGAGGGTTTTGTTCCTCTTTGACCAGTGTTCCCCTGTGTTTATGGCCTTGCACTCGCCTTTATCAGAGCAGAGAAATCAAATTGTCTATGGCTGCGGAGCCAGAGATTGCAGCCGTAGTGTTGTAGCCACAATGGGCATCACCCAGCCCTGCCGTGCTCTGCTGGACCAGTGGCCATGCAGTGCTCTGGCCACACTGCCCCACAACTGCATGACCCAGGCGCTGCACTGAAGCTTTCTACATTTAGTATGTTGGTGTGGACACGAGCTCGCCCCGCAGCCCTGCCGTTGGCTCCTGGCTGAGTCGCAGCTCCGGGCTCAGTTGGCTGAATTTGGGCTCGTTGGGTTTTTTATTGCAATCTGTTCACTCATTTCCCTTCCCAGCGCTGATTGGAAGCGAAACTCCTGTAAAGCTGCAGTCTGTGCTGGGGGACGCTGTCAAAGGCTTGCTGGGAGCAGCATGGGATGTGGGGGGTGCCCTCTCCACATCTCCTATTTAGCTGGCTGACCAAGATGAATATCTGTGTCCTTTTAATGGGAAAAGTACAACAAAAATAAGCAAAACCGCAGTTGGAAGCGGAGGGGTTGGAAGGAGCCCCTCTGCTTGCAATGTGCTGTGACTGCACGGCTCCAAGCCGCAGCCCGACGAGCAGCACAACCAGGCAGCCAAATGCAGCCCTGAGCGAATAACCCTGTGGGGAAGGGGAGCTGTCAGGTAGGTTAGGGCCCAGGTCTGAGCTGCGTTAGGTGCTGGCAGGAACGCCCTGTGAATAAATCATCTGGATGAGACGTATTTTTAAGCAGAGGTTGTCCTTGCTGCTTGGCTTCTCAACCTTTATTTGTGCTGCTGATGGGAGCCGAAGCCTGCGAGCTTTAATGCTTTCCCGGCTGGCAGAGGAGAGCTGGCAGGGGCTTGGGATGCTGAGAGGGATGCTGATGGGGACAGAAGGTCCCGCCATGCTGAGAGCATCACCCATGGGCTGGGGACTGCAGCCCGTGACAGCTGGGTCCCCACTGGCCAGGCAGTATTGGCATGGCTGATCCGGCTGTCCTGCCCTGGCTCCACTGCCCTCCGCAGTGTCAGACAGGAGGATTTATATGTATTTTGAGTTCATTTTTATAGCCAGCACCTGTGAGGCCAGCGCCAGGCAGGGATAAAAGAGGGGGCCACGCCATAGGGAGCCAGGACAACAGCATGAGCATGGAGAGCTGGGCTGGGGGAATGGGGAAACTGAGGCACAGCACCCTCAATGTGCCTTGGGGTGACGCTTGGAGCCGGGGGCTGCGGCTGCGTTTGGAGCCGGGGCAGGATCCGCAGCTCTGGCAGCCCGGCGGGGGCCGGGGGGGACACGCTGAATCGGGTGCATTCAGCACAGCACAGCTGGTGCGGGCTGCGGAGCAGGGGGGCTGCAGTTGCTCCTGACACTTTTGCCTCTGAATGTGATGATAAACTCCCTTTCCCGATTAGCGCTGATCCCTCTGCCTCCAAAACAGTTGGCCCTAATGAACATACGGCCCAACAGCTGTAAGCGGTTATACATATGCATGGATATATATATTTATCCCCCCCCCCAGCCCATCCATATATACTGGAGATCACAGCTGTTGCTATTCTTCCTTGCAATGCAGATCAGACGCTCTCTCTCTTTGGAGTCTTACTTGACCTATTTTGCAGGCGCAAGATTTTTTGTGATGATGATTTCCCCAGTTGGTGCTTTTGATTCTGCCTGAAACATCTTGATTGAAGGCAAACAATGGCAGCTCCGGCAGCCGGCAGCGCCCCGCACCCCCGGCAGCCGCCACGCGCCAGTGGGGGGGACCGGGGACCTGCCGGCTGCTCTGTCCCGACCTGCCTCCTCCGGTCCCCCTTCCCTGTGCCCACGGGACATGGCGCTGCTGCCTGGCCCATCAGCTTGGACACGCAACCGGGACCTCGAGGCTTGTGCTGGTGTCCCCATCCTCTGCCACCTCCAGCTGGGCTGTGACCTGCTCAGCCCTGAGCCCCCCGTTCCATCACCGTTGGGGTGCCTCAGCTTTAAGGCCAGGGGAGGAGATGGTTCCAGAGCTGGCAGGAAAGGCAAAACCCCAGTGGCTGCTCCATCCCAGAGTGCAGCGATGCTCCGCAGTGATGGAGATCTTCCAAGCCCTTCCTGCAGGGACCCCGTCTCTGCTTGTGGCTCAATGCAAGGTTTTGGGTCTGACAGGGAGTTCTACAGCCCCACAGCCATGTGGGGTGCCCCAGAGAAGGCCCCCAAAGTTGCTGCATGCCAGCAAGGAGAAGCATCCATCCGAGTGCACAGACATTTCTTGTTTGGTGTTTCTGTTTGAAGCGTATCCTTCATCCGGGTTTATTCAGCAATTGGGATGTTCTTGTCCTGTCCCAGCTGGAGGATGCAGAGCAGGAGGCAGGAGGGGAGGATGGAGGCAGGAGAGGGAGAAGCCAAAAGTAAGTTTTTAAAGCACTAAGGCTGCAATTTCCGCCTCCATCCTGAGCCTGGAGCTGCTGCAGCTGCAGCAAGGCTCCAACCCTGTCCCCTTCCCTCCATCCCAAAGGCAGTGCAGCCAGCAGAGGCCAAACCAGGGGCTGCAAAACACCAGCCCTAAGGGTCCATTAGGGTCCCTGCATGTAAGCAGCACCCTGAGGTGTTCCACCCTTGCACAGTTGCGGCCCCCTGAGCCCCTCCATGGGCACTGGCCTAAAAGGAGGGAATTACTTCAGAAATACACTTTTCTTTACAAACCCCAACCCAAACCCCACCAAACCACCAGTGATTCATCCCAGGCAGCGAGTCTCTTCATTTACTCATTACGAGATAATACCCAAATCTGGCTAATTAATATTCCTGCATATTTTC